GTCCAAACAAGCTGCAGCATGAATCATTCACCCAGCTTCATTTATAAGTTGGATCTGTGCTGTGGTCGTCCGTCTCAACCGTCTCAGGGATCCTGAAAGATCCTCTCATTTCCTCCAGAGGGCGCCACAATCACAGAATTAAGAACAACATCTCTCAGACACCCACAAGTTAGAGTGTCAAATGTTTACATGTCACTGAAACACAAATAGACGAACCTCAGGCCAAGAACCTCCTGTTTGATTATGTGTTGTTGTTGATTTATAGTTGAACCGACCCGTCTGCGGTCCAGCTGCTGTGATGAACACTGAACCAAACACCTGTACAGTGTTTTACAGTGTGGCCAAAACTACAGTCTTCCCATGGACCCCTGGAAGCCCCAGAGGGACACCTGAAACCCTCTCAAGAACCACTGGAATCCCATAAAGGATCACTGACACCCCGAGGGACTAACAACCCCCTATCAAGGATTAAAACAAACCATTAAAACCTGCTGTGACTCTGTTTGAACCCCATGAACGACCTCTAAAATCCTCGTGAGGATACCTGGATCTCACTCAACATCTCCCGAAAGCGACCCAGGACCCCATAAACCACCTAAAGGACGATTGCAACCTTCAGAAACACTTATGAAACTCTAAGCACAGGACATACAGGTCCATTAGCAATCCTCCAAAGATCCTTGTGACCACATAAAGGACCCCCCAAAAATCCCCTGAGGGAATACTGGAACCTCTCCAGGACTTCACAAACTCCCTACAAGGACCTACAGAATAAAAGGACTCCAGGAACCTCCTCAATAACTCTTCATCTACTAGGACCCTCAGGTTCCTCTTTCCTCTTAGACGCCTCATAATATATTACGAAGATTACTCCCGCCTGAACCAGAGAACCTCATGATGAACCTGCTCAAAAACTGTGATAAAAACCCAGGGAAACCAATGCAGCGTTAACATCGTATGAGATGAATAATAGAGAAGGGGAAAGATCAAAATCATCAAAGTGGTGGTTACATGATTATGAAGTTGTGATTAAAATACTGGTCATTGACGAAATGACACCAAATAGGACCCTTAAGTAGAAAGTACACTTCTGCAGATGTTGGATGATCTGACAGCTTCAGAAACCCCCGTCTCATTTCACCTTTCCCACATTTGATTAAGGAGGGCCGTGTCTCACAACTTGTGTAACCAATCTGACGTCCACACCCACTTCACTTCAGTAAACGTAAACAACCAAGTGCGACACTATGACTATCACCCCTCTCTCCACGACGGTCGGCTTAGAAGTTCGGAGCAACTATGGACACTCTTGATTTCTGACAAACCGATTGAGCATGACCCTCAAGAATGCTTAGAACTCCCTTAAAGATCCGTAGAACTCCATTAAGAACCTCTAACCATTATCTTACCCCACCAAATACCCCTAGAACCTCCTCAGGATGTTTAGAACCCGCCTGAAACCTGAATTGGCGCCACCTTAATCCCCTGAATGCAGAATTCAAATCATGTGAATTTCAACCCCCTCTGATTGTTCTGGACATACTGTGGAGCCACCTATCGGATCCCTGGTACATCCTTAAAGGATCCCTGGGTGGCCCTCGGACCCCACTTTTGGAGCCCTTAAGGTGGTGAAACCTAAGGTCCCGTGGCCTGTCCGTGCTGTGTGTCGCCTCGCTCTGCTGTCAGGACGACGCTGCTGTCACTCTGAGCAGCTCACAGGGCTCAGGATTTATTTTTGGACTGCCATGGCGTCTGTTCCTTCCATTTGTAGGAAGGGGGGTCGAGTTGGGCTCGACATGAACCTGCCGCTCTGACACTCCGGGCTGGGACAAGCAGGCAGCAGCCGGCCGGCCGCCCCCCGAGCAGAAGTCGCACAGGTAAACACGCCATAATTACACCTTTTATTCTGTAGCTAGGGGCAGAAGGAAGCTGTAAGCGGCGTTAGGGAGGCAGCTGCTGTCGAATGCAGAACCCCCCACCTCGGCAGCCAGAGGTCTGACGTGTGTTGGGAGAGCTCAGGGTGTTTTTTTTTACTCGTCCTCAGTGCAACATTAAAGCACCAGCTAAGTGTTAGCCTCGCACTGTCTCTACTCCCCGCGGCTTCAAATCACACTCTGCCCCGTCATTTATCCATCCTGGCTGCACTGAGGCATGAGTGACTGATGAGCACATCTTAAATCTGTACGTAATGTAACGTAATCTTCCTGTTTGTGTATTTGTGGGGAATAAAGTCGTCCTTGTTAGGTTCGGTGTTTTTACGTTGAACTTGAATCAGTGTCTCTCTCTTGTTGTGTCAAAGGGGAACCTGCCTGGAGCAGTTTGAACGTCAGCAACAAGTTGTTTTACCTGGTAAGTTCATCCGTTTTCCATCTGAACTCACACGGTTTGTGTTTGTGGCGTGAACCCTTCAAATCTTCACTGGAGGTAAATGACTTTTTGGGGTGGATTCATTTACTTAAGGAGGCCATTGTGGAGCGGCTTGGTTTTTATTACATGGCTATTATTACCCTTTCCTCTTTTGAACTTGCATCCTGAAGGCGCTCCAAATACCAAACCTACCAGAGCCTTAAAAGGAGGAGTGAACTCTCATGTGTCCGCTGGTGGGGTGGGGGGTGGGGCAGGGCTTTAAAACACAACCAGCTCTGGCCTACATTTCACTGAGGTGACACACATAGTAAACTGTGGATATTAAACAGTTGATGATGATGTCAGAAATAATTTATTTCCAACACAAACCCTCTGGGCAGTTCGTCACAAAGTTATTTTAACTTCAAATTGATAACACAAATGTTATGTGATGCGTGTGCAGTGTTATTTTTAAAGACCGAACCTTTTTTGGGTGATTCAACAAAACAAAACTTTCACTAAGTTTCTCCAGCCTCAATTTATTCACCCGTTTCTGATAACTTCCTGTTCTCTCGTTTGATTGGATAGACTCGGTGACAAAGTATTTCTGAGGCCCTATCCAGTGTCAGCAGGCTGTGATGTCACGGGGTCAGATGCTCTGCATTCACTTTCACCCTTCGGCAGATATATATACACGTCTATATGTGTGTATTTATGTGGGAAGGGTTAGGGTGAGGGAGAGGAACCTGATGTGACAAAGCTGCAAATAACACTCAGCCTGTAAACTGTAACCTCACAGAGAGCTCTGCAAATTTTCTCACTATGTTAAATTTGCTGTTGATGTTCACGGACCCAGAGGATGAACCAAATGATTTTGGTGACCCTCCTAACATTTCCCGTCACACTATCATCAGGAAAGAGTTTCCACTTGAACATAAGATCAAATCAAAATCTAACAGGTAGAATAACATTACATTTTTTAATCATATTCTAGATCCCCAGAGGATAAACAGACTTAACTTTAATGACCCTCGGGACAAACTTTACATTTTTAGCTCCACCGCTCTGGGAAGATCTGAGAATAGTTATATCATCAGTACGTCGTTAATTGTGTCGTAGTTTAGGGCGCGCTGCTGTTACGTCCAACTTTTAGTTGTGTTGTACGGAAAAGGTTGATTCAGTCGTATCAACTTAAGGTAATGAAAATGATGAATTTTTTTTTAAAGGTTAGACATTTTCATCCCAAATTAAACCTTAAATCTTCTTGAACTTTAAAAAATATTACACAAACTATAATATAATGTATTATTATGTATATTGTACTTATCATTCACACCTATTCCTGCTGGATTTACACTTCTACACTTGTTTTGCACAAATATCTGCACTTAGACAGCTAAATTGTATGTAGCTTTTTTTTTGTCACTTCACTAATTTTAACCTCTTTGTGTATCAGTAAAGTCTCATTTTGTTGTATTAATTTGAGCACGAGCAGAACTGAACTAAATGTGATGAAAAACCTCAGGGCCAAACTTTACTACAGCTGACGACAGCAGCCTTAAAGACACAAAGACCTACAACACTTTATCCAGCTGTGGTTGATGTCGAAACTTAATCTTACACATCACGCCTGTTACGTGGAGTTTGTTTTGTTTTTTTTATTCCCTGGAGGCAGCTGAAGCTGCACAGGCTCCATCACAGCGCTCTGATTTACTGTTTTCGGGAAAGTGATGCAGCCTGTAAAAAGCCAGGAGTCTTAAAAAAGGGAAGCAGGTGATTGGCCGGCGTCCTCTCTGCCTTCAAACTAAAATTAGGCAGAGTAAAAGCTTCAGGATCAGCTGTGAGGCGGTAACATCATCCAGGAGGAGTTCAGCCCGATGCTCCTGTTGGTTTTTCAGGCAGCAGCAGCAGCAGCTCGTCTGTTTTATATACAGCACTCACACAGACAGGATGAGTCATCCTCATGTACATGTACATGTGTGTGGAAGTTAGGACACATGTTATGTAACTGTGTGGAAATCTATTAAAACCAAATGACTGGTTTTTAGGACTTCTTCTTGTGGCTCATCTGAAACTTTAAATCTTTTCAAAGGAAGTCATTTTTAGATTATAGATGATCATAATTTGTTTTTATTCTGTATTTACATTGCACTAATTCCATGTGGTACATTGCATTTTATTTTTATTATTATTTTTTTTTTTTTTATTCCAGTCTGATCTTTACAGTGTTGGTTTTTTTGTATTTTGTAAAACACTTTATTTTTAAAACATTTCAAACAGATAATTAGTAATGAATTTTATTAATTTTCAGTAACATCAGTACAGTCAGTCTTTCCCAGCAGATGAGCTAAAATATAAAGTTGGTCCTGAAGAGGGGCAATAAAATTAAGGGTTCATCATCTGGGGAGCGGGAAATTTCATTTTAAGATTTAGATGTTTTTTATGTAGCAGAGGAAAATTTGGCCTGATGGTGGTGCAACAAAAAAGATAAAGGGGTCATGAAAACCACTTGGATTCATCCTCTGGGGACCATGAATCTCCACTGATGATTTTACAAAAAAGAAACTGTAGTTGTTAAGGTGTGTTGCTCTAGAGGAATAAGAGTAGTGAACATTTGATATGATCAGCAAAATGAGACAAATGGAGGGCTCTGATGAAGTAGAAAATTATTTTTAATTTATTTAAGAAAAGAGGTTACAAACACGTACAAGCAGGAATCTCAGTAAATGGACATTGAAGGTGGAAAATGTCTGTAGCAGTCCAGAGACAGAGCTGAAGGAACCAGTGGGTTAAACTACAACATAAACAGGAAGTAGAGTTTGATTGTACAGATCAGGTGTCTACATGATATTGATGTTTCAGATTGTTCTTTACCTGAAGTGGAAGTGTAGAATAGATGCCATATAACACTGTGTGATCTTTCAATTCTACCTGATTGGAAAATGTAAACTTTTTCTATTCAAAAGACTTTTAAATTTCCCTCTACAACATCATACAAGGGGCAGTCATTAGGAATGATTAGTCTAAACAGAAAACAGACACAGTAAAGCTCATAGTCAGATATATATACATCATAATAGAAAGGGAATGTCAGAAGATACAAAAACAAGCATTTGATGATCAGATTCTTTTGGATTTGAGCTGCAGAGTTTGTACGAACTGAGAGACAGAAAAGGTGATTTATTGGATATTGATGAAATAATGAGACTGTAACTGTTGCAGAGCTGCTTCTGTTCGATCTTTATAGTCAGCGGGTGTTTTTTGTGAGATAAAGGTGGAACCACCTGAAGAGAGAACACCTGCTCAGTAATCACGATGATATAAATCTGCAAAAAAAAAAAGACAAAAATACAAAAAAAAAATTAGATATATAGATATTGCTAAGTTGTCCACATTGTTATTTAGTTACATTTTGGACAGTTTTAGTTTTTTATTCTTTTAGGACATGAAGGTTTCATTGATTTAGATTTGATTATTTTTAGGCCTTCTGAACGGACCAATGAAATGGAGTATTTACTTTCTTAACACGATGCATTTCCTGTTGAAAAAGGACGTTTTCTTTACTGTAAACCCACAGAATTTCAGTTGAGGACAGACAGGCAGTTTGATGTGATTGAAGAGATAGATACTGAAGATGAGGAACCAAATGGTTTATATAATAGAACTTACATGGGATTCACTGCTACTTAAACTATGTGACAATCCAAGATAAAAATGTAAGATTAAAATAAAGTTGAAATATCGTTATGAATGAACCTTTTTTCACAGTTTTTTCCAACAGTTTTTGCTTTTCTTTCCACAGGGTGCTGAAGCGCTCATGGCTGTAGCTTACAGTGCTGTGACCCAGCCGGGCCTGCTTTCCCAGCAGTACCCTCCACCCCTGCTGCCCAAGCCTGGAAAGGACAACGTTCGGCTTCAGAAGCTCCTCAAGAGAACTGCCAAGAAAAAGGCCTCCGCTCAGACGTTGCAGTCCGCAGTGCATTTCCGCTCAAGCCTTTCCCCTGTGAATGAAGCAAGCCCCGACCTTGAGCACAGTGACCACTCCACCCCTCCCCGGACCCCAGAGACACCATACAGCCTCTACAGCTTCAAGCAGCCTCAACGGTTCACCGTCAGGCCGCTCTATCAACATGTGGCATCCCCTTACCCGCAGCGTGCAGCTTACGGCAGAGGAGCAAGTTATTCGCCTCAAACAGTGGCAGTCCCCTCGTACTCTTACTCGCAGCATGTCACCACAGTTTCTTCATATTCTGCACCAGCCTACCATTCTGGGGTCTCACCAGCTGTGGGGCCAGTCGCCCAGCCAGCGGTACCCAAAATATCTCTGCCAGCTTCGTCCGTGCCTGAGATGACAGTACTAGCTGCTGAGGTGAAAAAGCCAGCTTTCAGCACATTTGCTGAAAGTCATGCTGGTCTTAGACCTGCTGCAGCTGTAGCAACCCCACAGCCAAAAAGTCCAGGTCCGGCTCCATATCCAGGAGCAGGAGGTCAAGCTATAATTCGACCTCTCATTGTGTTGACACCGCTCGTCAAATCCAGAAGTCCTCGTCCAACATTCAAAGCAACAGAACCCTCAAGGTCACCCAGACCGATGTTTGATGTCCCTCAAATTAGGATGTACACGGCGAGCACATCCTACTACGAGACATCCAGGACCCCACCGGTATACGACACTTATGAATTAACTGCCATTGGCAGCACATTACCTCAAAGTAAAATACCAGCAGAAACAAAACAAGATTTGACTCCCATGTCCGAGGTCAAAAGAGGTACGACACAGACAGCTCAGACTTCTTTGTTGGGCGCAGATCCCCAGAGAAAAACGCCAACTTCAGAAATTAAAAGAGGCACTACACCAACAGCAGAGATCAATACGGTCATAACGCCTACCCCTGAAGTCAAAAGAGTAACCCCAACACGTGAAATTAAAAGAGTAACTCCAACACATGAAATCAAAAGAGTAACCCCAACACGTGAAATTAAAAGAGTAACCCCAACACGTGAAATTAAAAGAGTAACTCCAACACATGAAATTAAAAGAGTAACTCCAACACGTGAAATCAAAAGAGTAACTCCAACACTTGAAATCAAAAGAGTAACTCCAACACGTGAAATCAAAAGAGTAACCCCAACACCTGAAATCAAAAGACTTACTCTGACACCTGAAACTAAAAAAGTTGCTCTGTCCCCTGAAACCAATAGAGTTACTCCAACACGTGAAATCAAAACAGTTACTCCAACATCTGAAACCAGAGCTAAAACACCAACTTATGAGTTCCAGATATCAAGAACTTCAGCAGGACGGCCTAAAACCCCAGCGTACCATGTGACCCGGGCTACAACACCTGTCTTTGAAATCTCAAGACCTAATCCTCTCTTGTTTGCGGTGTCACCTATCACAGTAGAGCCAGAGAGGTCAAGAACACCTAAAATGGCTTCTACTGCGAGTAGTTTGTCTGCTTCCCAACGTGTGACGACTACTGAACCTAAACCTGCAGAAACACTACTGAATGGGGACATTCATTCAGACGTAACACCTGCAGCTAAACCAATCGAACAAAGTCTAACAAAGTCAAAATCAGAGCCCGCTCTGACAAAGATCCCAGCTGCTCCAACTGCCTCTCAAAGACCTAAAACTCCTACATCTGAGCCAACAAAACCAGCAGTGACTTCTTACGGCTCTCAGAGGCCTAAGACTCCAACATTTGAGGCATCCCGACTTATGACCACATCACCTGGGTATAAAAGACCAAAAACACCTACTGGTGTATCACCTGTAGCCTTTCAGAGACCTAAAACTCCAACCCAAGCGGCTCAAAAGTCAAAGTCTGGTTATCGTGGATTGACACCAGCTGAATATGCTGCTTATGGTGGAATCAAAACTTACTCTCCAGCATTTGGTATCTTGAGTTCTAAGACGCCAACTCAAGAGGAGGTTACAGCTAAAAATGAGGGATCAGCAGAATTGAAAACACTGAGCCAAGAACCTTCTGTGAAAGCACCTTCAACAGCTGAGGTGTCTAAAGTCAAAGAAGATGTAAATAAACCCCATGTGAGAGATGAGAAGGTTCCCACCACCCCCGCAATCCCTATTATTGTTGTTTCACAACCATCTGACACCTCAGGAACAACGTCAACACAAGAGACAAGTATCATATCCAGTCATGTTACAGTGAAACAAGAAGAAAAGGTGATCCAGGAAGCACCAAAGGTGAAACCTCCAACAGCAGAGGTGAAAACGCCAGAGAAACAGAAGGTGCAAACACCAGTCCAAGAAGTCGTCAAACCAAAACCAAAAACTCCTGAAGTCAAACATCCTCTGCCCAAAGGCGGTGATAAAGATCCTCTGATGGCAGTGAGGAAACTTTTAGGCAAAGATAAAGTCCAGACTGCTGAACAGAAGGTTCCACAAAAGCAGGAACCAAAAGAGCCGGTGAAACCTGTAACTGCCACCAGGACTAAAGCTGAAGGTGTAAAGCCAAGCTCTGCAGCGCCTGCTAAAGTACCTGCCGTTCAATCAACAGAAAGTGACGATAAGAAAGCAGAACCAGCAGTTAAATCTGTGCTTGAGAAAAAGGAAGGCGACAAGTCCCTCCCAGCAGCTGAGCCCCTTCTTAAGGTCATGCAAAAACCGAAGGGAGTGAAACTGAGACCAAGTGGTTGGTCCCGACTCAAGAAGCACATGGTGGTGGAGCAGGAGGAACCCAAATTTCCAGAGATTGGCTCTCAGAAAGAGACCGCTGATCAGGACCAGGACAAGGTGAAAAAGGCTGACGAGAAGGCCGACAACAAGCCCGGCACTCAGGACGAGAACCAAAACAATGACACTCCCAAGGCAACGCAGATGTGGGACGCTGTCCTCTTCCAAATGTTTTCCACCAAAGAGAACATCATGCATCAGATCGAGCTGAACAAAAGTGAGGAGGAGAAGACGGAGGAGATAAAGGACGAGGTGAAAGAGATACCTTCGTTTGCGTTCCGGCTGCCCGTGCTGCTTTTTAGTCCAAAGTTTGACGCTAAAAAGCTTAAAGAAGCGGCGTCGAGGCCGGTGACGAAAATATCGACTGTGTTTGAAATGGGTCTGATTGGACGAAAAGGTAAAGAAGAGGAACCAAAAGACTTTAACAGAACGGCGAGAGGGTTCACTTATACTTAAGCTACATCTAATGTGAAGCGACGAGATGAAAATGTTTAATGTACAGGTGCAGAAATCTTAGCAACAGAAATCATGTACAGGTCTGGAGTCTTAGTTTCTGTGTTAAAACGAATGACACTGTGTGGCAGCGTTGTAGAAAATTCGACCTTAACTTTATACTTGATAAATGCTTTGTGTCGCATCTGTGTGACTGGTTGTCTGGATGTTAAATGTTTGTGTTTGTGGATTAGCTTGGAGAAGGGAGAGCTACATTTGTCTTAAAGTCATTCGGACGTCACATCAGATTAAAGCCTTTGTGTTTTACGTAATTTCAGAGCATCTCATTTATTTTTTTTCATCACGTTCACAATAAATATAAACTGTTGAGTACGTTATGGATTTGAAAATATGTAGTTACTGTAAAGAAAATCGAGACTGATTATTTATTTGCAGCAGCTCACTCAAGATTTAGAAAGTTATAAAGCTCAAAGTTGCTTTTTAGTAAAATAAGTCAACTTCTAGCAAATAACTAATAATTAAAATATGTGTATTTCTATAGATAGAAAGAAAAAAATAAGACTTAATGATTTTAAGACAAATATCTGACATTGAAAATTTCTCTTTTTTCACTCAAACATCCAGTTTTATTCAAAATGGTGCTACTTGCCTCAGGGTAAGACCTCTCACTAGTTAACGGATGCATATGTAGAGTGACTTGACATTTGAATTATTTATTATTATTTATTTGAATTTCTTTTTTTTTTTAGGTTGTAGGTGGTTGTGTTTTATGAATGAACCTTCTTAAAGTCACAATGAAATAACATTTTAAGAGCATTTCGATTTTTATATTTGGCTTTGGCGGGGACGGATCAGTTAGTGCAATACAGCAATCGGACGCCAGAATGGACGGAAAAGGCAGGGGAGCGAGATTATTTAAATCTGTAGAAGCTTTAACATTAATTATAACTAGTTTATGTCACAAAGTTAACATCCAAATGTAGCAAAGCACAAGCAGAAAAAAAGGAATTGTATTTATTGTTGAATTTATTATGAAAATCGTAAAAAGCAATTGTTCAATGAATAGATGAAGGAACAGTATATTAAGATTATCTTCCTCATACTTGAGCTTTAGTCTCTTTTACACAATCTCCTTCATTTTAAAGCTTCGAGAATCCAACTCTTTTCATCTCCGTCTGCTTCTCTGTGATTGGTTCAAACGTAAGACGAGAAAAAAGTATGAGATGAAAGAAAAAATCTGTAACATCAGCTTGACTGTCTACACTCTGTAGGTGTGTCTCTTTGAATCTACTTGATGCTCAATTTTAAATTTCAAACTTAAAAATGGAACAACGTGAATTTCAAAAAAACTCTAAAATGTCGCAAAAAGTTATACGCTCGAATTACGTAAAAAAAAAAAAAAAATTGTGCTAAACTGCAATCAAAACCCAGATTATGTGTTTCAGCTTCATTTCTGATCGTCCGTCTCACAAACATCTAATAATAATACTAATTATGATAAATTAATTAGAGAATAAAACAACGAGGAGCATAAAAATAAAATAAAAATGTTAAAATTTGAGAGTTCTGATGGATCAGATACACTTACATTTTAATTAAGCTGTGTGATGGCTGGTGTTTCAGTCGCTGCAAACCAAACTGGTTTTATACCCAATTAAAAAAAAGTAGATCAATATAATGAACAATTAGCTGATTGATTTCAATGTGACTTGAAGAAGCCGCTGAGCTAAGAGTTTGTGAAAGTAGTTAGAGAAGACGAACGATGAAGAGCAGCCTCCACCGCGATGGAGGTCAGTGGGACACTGAACTGTAAGGTCAAAGGTCAAGATACACAGAAAGGTTTTTGATGACTGTGATGCAATTTATTTTTCTAGTTTTATTTTCACACCTGCTGTTTTGTTTTTCTGTTTTTCTAATGTTCTTTCTAATGATTTGTAATGTGTGAGCTGGAGTTACAGTGTTTGGGAAATGTAAACATTAGCGGGCGGATTCAGACACTTTCAAAATAAATCTTAAGCAGTGTTTTTATTTACTTGTGAAACTGTTAATGTCAAATACTAGGATGCAAATTAATTGAATCTCTGCATCTGATTGGATCATTCTGGAAGATCTTTCAATCACTCATTGTCTGTGTCACAATTATAAGTTTAATTTTTCTTTTTCCATTAATAATTTTTTTGTGAAATAGTGACAAGTTAAATTTTCATGTAAAAAAAAAAAAAAAAAACAATAACTGAAAAATATGTCATCAATGTAAAATTACATATTTTGATCTTTCATTAATTAATTAATTATTTTATTTTTGGGCTGATGGATGACAGGAAGGAAATAGAATATCAGAATTTTAATTTTAATTAAATGCATTTTTTTGTTTTTGTTTTTGGAACTTAAAAAACCCAATTAAATTTTCTAATGTTCTATTATATTTTTTTTGTAAAAATAAAAGTGATAAGGATTACAGACACCGGTATAATAAATAATAAATGTTAAATCTGCCCAGATGTATTCTGTATATTCTGCTTAAAGATTATTTTAGTTTATCATTTACATAGTGAAACCAACTGTGACTCGTGTATTTTATTGTCACTCATCTTATTTTAAGTGAAGCACTTTGAACTGCGTTGTTTTCTTATGTGAGGCACTGTGTACTGCACGAAAGGAGCTACAAATAAAGTTTGACTTAAACATTTCTACCATTTTTTTTTTGTCAGTAAATTCATTCAATAAGTTGCTGCTGGAGTCGTGTGTTTTCAGGCAGAGAATCAGACTCAGCTGATTCACCTGTCGAGAGCGACACACCTGCAGGTCGTTACTGATCAGCTTTGAGCTTCTGAAACTCTTCTGTCTTCCCTTTCATTTAAATGAACTGTATTGAAAATGAATTATCCATCTGTGTGACTGATTTCTTAATCTAAAAAATCAAGCAAAATGTAATAAAATAGTTAATTAACCTGAACCAGCGCACATGAAGGTTTATTTTTGACCTGTTGCAGTAGTTTCCAAGGGCAACACCGAGCAGTAACACACATGCACTCCACAGTAATTTCATATATTATAAATAATATCACCTGTTGTAAACTTTTCCAAAACTCTGCATCATCTCTGAATAAAACCTGCAGACCGGACGTCAGGCTGAAATGATTTCTTAGTCAGAATTTGTCCTGGCACTTTTTGTTTTTTACAGTTTCACATTAGAGATGGGGAATAGGAAAATAATTCTGCAATCAATCAATATATTAAATATTAAACCAGATTCCAGTTGTTTCTCTCTTTAAAGCTGAATTCGCAGCCTTTATGTTTTCAGCGCTGATCCCTCATGAGGATCAGCACTTTAATATTAAACTATAAACCGCCTCTCGTGTCTGTCGTCTTACCGGACTTTCCGTTGGTGAACTCTTCTCCGTTCTCGTCGTCCACAGGGATCTTCTCGTACTTGCCGTGACCGGTGACGACAAACTTGTACTTTTTCCCGGCTGCCGAGCCCTGAGCAGAGAAAACACATGGTTCAGTTTGTTCACTTTGAAATCATCTGTGATGGATTATCACCCTATAAGATTAATAAACTGTAATTCAACCATTTCACATCATTTCACAACTCTGCTACAAACTGATTCACAGAGGTAAAGAAGTAAAGAAACAACATTTGATCTGTTTCTGACTATATTCACATTTGAATAATAATATAAAATATATATGATACGTATTTAAATAAAATGCTGAGGAAAAGGACTGAGTTAACACCAGTGAAGAAGAAGCGTGTGCTGACCTTGGCTCTTTGTCCCGGCCTCCCTGACGAGTCTCCGATGATCTCCCACATGTTCTTCTTCTGCATCACGTCTCCAGGCTTCACATCCTGACAAACCGATCAATAATCAATACAAACAGGCCGCTCGATAACTCTCCCGCTGTTTCTAAATATTCTTTTTGATTCATTTGAAATTCACTGAACAAAAATACAAACGCAACACTTTTGTTTTTATTCCCATTTTTCATGTTGAAATAAAAGATCAGAGGTTATGTCTCTTTAATGTTGTTCACAAATGTGCTTTTCAAAATAAAACTGCACGTTTAACAGTTTCCTTTTAGACTGTTGCCTGTCTAACTGTCCATGTTTTTTTCAGTGAATGTATCTGCTGTATTATGTCTCTGTTGCTGATCATCGTTTGTACATCATGTGAACTGAAACTCAAATAAAGAAAGTGGTCAAAAGTAAAAAGACATTGATCAGGCTCTGAACTTTCTTTATGGTGGTGGTGGTGGTGGTGGGGGGGGGGGGAGGGGGGGGGGTGATTTTGGATCAGAAAGAGTTGATCCGGCTGCTGATGGTCGGACTGCTTCTCTTCGAGTTGCTGGATATTGGCACGAAGTGGAAGCTCTGGCGACATTTAAGACCTCAAAACCTGCAACATCTGTGCACGTGTTTTATTGTGACGAGCCCAGGACACACCTGTGCAGTAATCATCAGCATTTTGATGTGACACACCTGTGTCACTGACGCATGGTGAACAAGATTTAAGAGACATAAACTCTGACCTCTGAGCAAATAGAAAAAATCTTAGATATTTTATTTCAACTTGTGAAAAATGAAAGTAAAAACAAAAGTGTGATGTTTCTATTTTTCTCAGTGGAGTGAAACAGGTCACAGCAACAGTTACAGCAAAGGAAGAAGCTGTTTTAACAGTTGTTGTATCTTGTTTCTCCACTAGAGGGAAACCTCACATCACAAACTCACAGAGCTGCACTTGAACACATCAGCGTCAGCTCAGGGTCTATTTTTAACCGCTGCAGCTCTGCTCAGTAAAACCCGCTACACAGAGTCTTCACTTTGTCCTCGAGTCTGAACTCTAATCATTCATTATCAAATATTTCCATGAGATCTGAGATGTGGAGGTTTTGGCTCTGAGAGGAGACACGAGGCGACAGGAAGAAGAAGAAGAAACGAGCTGAACGGTGTCAGGAGGAGAGTCAGTGACTTACTGCTGCTCTGCAGGGCGACTGTCTGCTGCCGTCAGACGGGCCTTTTACCCACTGGGTGATCAGGCTGGCCACGCCCACCTTCAGACCATCAGCGTCCTGAGTCAGAAAAAACAAACAAAAAAGAAACAGACGCTTTGTGTTAGAGAGATTCACCATCTTGGAAGTTTTAGTTCCAGATTTAGAAACGTAGAAAATCATCATTTTATAATAAGAATATATAATCTCTTCATTAGACGTGAGATTTCTGTAAAAAGATAGAAAATACTAAGGAAACTCTTGTGTCACTTGTGTCCGTCATTCTCTCACCAGACTCCGACACACAGGCTTTAACCGCTGAAGTCCTGAACACGATCCGGTCAGAGCTTCGCTAAAGTGAAAATCTGCTCATTAGTAAATGGAGCCTGTTTGAGTTTCAGTCAGATGTGGTGTTTAATTATTGCAGAGAGACTCCAGTAACGACTCGGCTCTGTCACGGTGACACTCTCCATGTCTCCGTGTTCTCTCAGCACGAGTCTCGCTGGTTTCCACTGATTAAAGACACTTTCATGTTTTTCATTTTTACGTGTTTGTATCATGTTCAAACCCTTTTGTCGTCTGCTCCTCTTTAAAAGGTCTCGTGTTGTATAAACAGCTGTTAATCCCGTCGGATTTACACAACGATCACGACAACAATTCATTTTCTCAACCTTCATTTCTTATGAACAAAGAAACTCAGTCTGCAAGATCTTTTTTTTTCTTACATTACAGCCAAGAAAAAACAGGTTCATAAAAACCTGGTACCACCACGGGAATAATCTCAATTCATTTTCATTCTCACCAGCTGCTGATCTTCACCACGTCTCTGTCTAAATGCCAAGAAGTCGTCACTTTAACAGATAAATGAAACCAAAATGTTTCATATTCCAAATCTGCAAAGGGCTTAAATGTAATTTTTTTAAAAAGTATAAATTTCAACGGGAGAGAAAACTCACAGTTACAGTTTTTTTGGACAGACGTGAGTAAATGTTTGTTTTCACCTTTTTGTTTGAAGAAAAAAGAATCAGTCTGTTTGTTTCTGTGTCTCTTTTCACCAGTTCATCCACTAGGAGTCGCCACAGTCTGAACCTTTAAACTCAGTCGCTCCCGGTCCATCATCCACTTATCACCTACATGATGTTGGAGCAGGAAGTAGCCGGGTCCCTGACTGTTCTCTCACCTTGCAGGTCGCTCCTTTAGTGGGACTCTGGGTCCAGGCCTCTCCGGCCTCAAACAGGTTCTTCTTGGAGGCGACGACCTCAGGTGAGCTGGGCAGGTCGGACAGCGATGCCTTCACTGCCCGGGCCTCCTGGGAGTTCTGCACATTAACAAGCCTGGATTAGTCCTGATGTTAAAAACTTTTCTTTTTGTTTCTGTTGCAGCTGCAACAGTTCTGATGTAACATCCTTATAAGATTATTACATTATATATATATATATATATATACTGTATATATAATATTATTTATAAATCAGTCCTGGAGTATTTTATACCAGGTTTCTCCTCTGTGATAGTTCTGTTTTTTTATTATTAAACTTTGTCACAATCAGTGTTTTAAATTTCATAATTTATTTACATAAATTCTGCCTTTATGAAAATAATTTTGAGGAATTTCATTTCAGTCCATTTCATTTTTATTAGAAATAAAGCAAAAGCAAAAATAAAATGTAAAAAATTACAATCATTTATTTTGTATGTTATGCCTTGTTGGATTACTGGCTGTTGCTATTTTGTTTATAAATACATTTTATTATTATTATTTATTAATTTGTAATTTCATTTTCAGGTTTATGTTACACATCGTCCACAAAATAATGTAATAAAACAAAAATTAAATAAATTTTTTGTCAGTTCAGTTCATTTACTGCAGCTTTAAACATGAAGATGAGAACTGGATTTTTACATTTTAATTTTAATTGTGCCTTAAAACATGTGCACACAAATAGAAAATATACATTTCGTTTTGTAATTAATCAAATCAGAAGTTAAATTCATGATTCAATTATTTAATATTAATATTGGCAACATGGACTTCCATACATCCTGGGTTTGAACAGTGATGAACATAAGTAACGTTGATTCATGTAGGATGAGATTTAAATAGTGACAGACAGATATTATCTCAAATTTATGGTGAGAATGTTTTTTCTTCTTCATGCCTGTAATTTTTGCTCTTTATTGCTCTTTGTGTGAAACCTGTGCTTCATAAATAAAAGTGACTGGAGGTAACCTGGGGTCATTCACTGAGCTGTTAATCAGCCTGGGAACGTCCTGCGGCGACGACTGAAACCAGGGAACGGAAGGATGAGAATAAAGTGCTCTGAACGCATCGCAGATCCGCGCCACACGAGCAGGAATAAAAACAGAGCTGTGAAGTCGCCGCCCAGGTGCTGCAGAGGTTTGTTTGTGACTCCAGCACAAAAAGGGTCAGAGCTGCTTCTGCTTCTTCAGCTGGTTCAAAACAATGAGGGTTCAAAGGTCGACGTGAACATCAGCAGCTTCTCACTGAGCAGAAATCACTGTGAAGGAGGACTTCCATGTTTTTACTTCCTGACTACCACATTAAAGCTGCTCCAGTGTAAAGGTCTGTGTCCATGTGTAGTGTGATTATAGATCAGCTCTAGCTTCTATATTAATACTGTGAAAGTATCAAAGCCTCAGTCCACAGAGAAATGCACACAGCCTGTATTCAGAAACTGAGCCTTAAAACCAGCCGTCAGGACTTCTGGAACTTTGTGATGTCACAACAAAGCAGTCACCAAGCCCTGCCCACCTGGACCCACCGTCCAACACTTACAGGATTTGGTTTCTTTGAGTGTTTTTACCTGAAATCTGATATATTTTTATTGGCTCACTCAGAAAACAGTTGGCGTGTGTGTGTGTGTGTGTGTGTGTGTGTGTGTGTGTGTGTGTGTGTGTGTGTGTGCTGACCTCCACAGCGTGGGCGTACTGCTCCAGCTTGTCGTCGATCTTGGACGTCAGGACGAGAGGCTGCGTCTTCTTGAAGCTGTTACTGATTCAAACAAAACAACAACAACAAATGAAACGAGTTCAAACCAGAGACGCAGATCTGGATTCAGTCAGTCAGGATTTGTTTTCTTATCAAACCCTGATTTCTCCCTTAAAAAAAGTGATAAACTCCTTTGTCTCCACTTCAAATGAAAATATTCTTTATGTCCAGTGCATCGCTTTAGATGCAATCCCCCATGATTTATTTTTGCCACGAGAATTTAAAATTTATTTTCTTTGATTAGTTCATTACTTTGTATTTTAATTCTTCTTTTCTTCTTAGAATCAACACCTCACAGTTACATCGTTAGATAACGACCAGAGGTGTTTATACACAACATTATGATGTCACATTGAAGTTGACCTTTGACCCTCTGTATATAAATTGTCATCATTTAATTTTATCCTTATAGACATTTGAGTTAAATTGTGTCATAATTAGTGAATGAATTAGTGAGTTATGGTATCAAGCGTGTTTTGTGAAGTCACAGTGACCTTGACCTTTGACCTTTGACCACTAAATTATAATCAGTTCATTGTTGAGTCCAAGTGAACGTTTGTGCCAAATTTAAAGAAGTTCCCTCAAGGCGTTACTGAGATATCACGTTCACGACCTGAAAATATTAAAATAAATATGATAAAAATATGTGAAGTCACACAAATGCTACAAATTAAAATATTAAATTTAACTGGGAAAAATGAATCACTCTTAAAAGGAACTTTCTGCAGCACTACAATGAACTGTGACTTTACGCTCCTTTAGTTTCCCTTAATGTTTCTCCAAAATAACGGAGTTTATCTCCGGCCAGTGATAATATGTAAAAGAGTTTTCATGTGTTCCTCTGTTTCTCTGACGCATCAGTTTTACATGTTCACGCTTCGATCAGAACCAGGAACGTTTTTAGTGCCGACCGGCACATGTGGACTCCAGGAGTCCGGACGCTGACTCAAGTCCAGGTTTGTGTTTGAACAAATGAAGGTTTGTCTGAAATGTTTTTGTCTTAGTCTCCAGGAGGGTTTCATTCCTCCACCCAGCTGTCCAAACTCAACCTCCACCATCATCCTCCTCTAAACTCCAAACTCTCCTCCCTCACATCTTATTTTTTTATTTTACAGCCACAGATAGGAGCTGGATGAGGTCACTCTTCATTCATCATCTGAATCCTTCGCTCCAACATGTCTGAGGCAGTGCCGCTCTGAGGCACCGCCCACTTTTTAAAGGGAGGTTTACACCTAATGATGTCATGAGCGATGGAGGGAAGGAGCGGCTGATATAACATCGCTGATCTCACGCGTTTGGCTCGACGTGTTTTACGAGCTGCTGCCTTCACTGCTGGAAGCTGTGACTCAGTCGGATTTGAGTTTTACCTTCAGCAATAAAGTCAAAGGTGAAGTTTCCATCGTTGAGTCAGTGGCCTCAAATTCATTGTTTGTGGTTCGGGCAAAGCTTCTGATTGGACAAAAGTTGCACAAATACAGTATAACTGAAAAAACTAGGACAATGTCAAACAACATACACCAGACAATCCGATCCAATTCATACTAAATGATCTGGATCTGCCCCCAGATCTAAAGGCTTCTTCCCTGACCCACGTCCCATCCCTCCACCAGGTTCGGTGCAAATCAGTTCAAGACTTTTTGCGTAATCCTGCTGACAAAAGGTGAAACCAAGCGCCAACCTACGGGACTCAAGTGTCAAAAGCTGCAGTTCCTCTAACGACCACTAGAGTCTGGCTCCAACAGTGAGTCAGTCCCCATAGACTCCCATGTTAAAATGTCCAACTTTACAGCAGAAATAAACATGTTTACAGCCTGGTACAGAAACTGTTTTGGTCTCTAGAGCTAATTTCCTCCTTCATGACACCTGTTTATATAACTCACCTGTTTATATAACTCAGAAGATGAGATCTTGCAGATGAAATCTATTGCAGGTCCGATCAAAGACACAGTCAGAGAGCAGCTGGTGAACATAGTGGAGCATTTAGCAGCTAAAGAGCCAGATATTTCCCCCAGGAGCTGGTGGAGACCAAACATGGAGCTAAAAGAGGGAACACTGGATACAAACATGACTCCATGGCTGCTGGATGTGGAAATATGAAACTGTTTGATAACAAGTTCAACAAATCAACTGAAAAGGTGATATATGCCAACAATGTGCAGTCAGTTAATACTGCCTCAGGAAACTGGCTAACACTGCTGGAGTCAAAGGTTGCATCTGCCGGCCTCACGCCTCCTCTGAACATCGCCTCTGTTCCCGGTACAGTCACTTCACAATAACAGCATCACACTCACAGAGGCTCCACTCCTGCTGGCAGCTCCACAGAGCTGATAACTACCTGCAGCAGACTGCCTGGAGCCGCCGTACCTCTCCAGCCACCAGAGAAAACACAGTAACGCCGCATCTGGACGGAGTTAAGCGGAGCCATAAATTGCCGGCGGAGGAGGGCGATGCAGCGAGAGAGGTGGAGAGGTCACCTCTGACCCTCTCCATCAGTGTTTACCCTCACACAGCGGCGGGTCAACCAGCAGCAGAAACGATCTGACCGGGAGAAACACTGAGCTGCGAGAAGAGGATGAACGTTCAAGAGCGGGAAATGATCGGCGAGGAATAAGTCATTAATCAACGTAACAACCAATCATCCTCTGGGTCCACCTTCTCAAGCGTGATGTGTTTTATATCATTGTAAAGTGAATATCGTTGGGTTTTGGACTGTTAGGTGAATAATGAAATGTCTCCACCTCAGACTCTCAGACTGTTTTCTGGAATTTAATTAAAAAATAAATAAAAATGAGGAGATCAGTCGAGTTATTCAGGAGCCACTCATCAATGCTTCATTAATTACCAGGCTGTTCTTTCCTCATGTTTTTGTTTACCTTATTGTAAAGTGTGAACAGACTCGTATCATCCAGCGGCTCCATCAGCTGATGAAAACTGCACAGTGTGCATCTTGACATTTTATCCGTACATGTCAGAGACGTGCAGCTGATCCTCACACGGCGGCTCCTCTCTGTGTGTTTACTTTAGGTACGACTCAGATTTTGCATCAATAAACGTTTTTTCCCTGAAATCTCTAAACGGAGGTGACGAGCACCAAGTACAGCTGTGTTTAGGTTTGATTTAATACTAGTTTGTTGCCCCTTTTTTTTTCCCCTTTCTCAATTTTATCCTCATTCTTTTTAGTCTCTCTCTGGACCACCCTGCCTGAGTAAAGGCTGAATGAGTGAGTGAATGAATGAATGAATGTCCCAGACGTCTATTAAAAGAAAACTTTCCTGATTGGCTGCCTGTTGTGTTGCTCTGCACAAAACCTCAGCATTTAAATCTAATTCTCTCTGCTGAAAGACGTTTTTAACCTCTGGTCCGGGATCCAGGGAGATTTACATCAGTTTGTAGCGGAGATCAGGCTGAATCTTTGAGGGAAATGTTTCTAAAATGACGCACAAAAACATCCAGAATATTTCCATTTGATGGAGCAGTTACAGACTGAATGTAAAACCAATCAGGACATTGATCGGGACATTCACCTTTTCTTCAGCGAGCGGTTCAGGGACTCTGTTCTCTCAGTGATCTGGAAGAGAAGAAGAAGAAGAAGAAGAAGTGTGAGGTCATTTCTCTGATGAACACAGGAAGTTTTCCTCCGTGTCGCTGCCTCGGTTCTGAAGTGCGCTAATTGCAGCTCGGCTCTGCGTTCGGCCGCAGAACGCCACGACCTCGTCCAAGACAAACAGAGTCTGCTGGCCTTCATCTGTACAACTGTACGAGTCATCAGAGCAGCTGCGCTCTGAGGGCAAGAGCAGAGGATGATGGGAATGTGCTTTTTTTTAACCCATAATTCCCTGAAGAACAAGAGACTGATTTGATTTTTCTGTTAAAACTTTGATGTTCTGCGTCTCTCTTTGAGATTTCCCATTTCGAGGTTCCTTGTTATCAAAAAAAAAAAACAACCTCTGGCTGTCAACACATCTGTCCAAGTGAAGTATTTTCCTCCACATTTCTCACATCTGTCACTCACAAATTAAATGAGTCTGCACCGACACGTGTGCACTACCGAACTCGCAAAACTCTATTTTCTTTTGTTTAAAGTTATTTTTTTGGGGCAGTTTTTATGCCTTTATTTTGATAGAGAAAGTAGAGACAGACAGGAAATATGAGCAAAAAGTCTATTTTCTTTCAGACAAATGTATTTTCTGAGCATGTGCGGATCCAAAGATGTTTTCTGTGGATCTTTATTGTAAAATTAACATGGAACAGGAAGAACAGAAAACGTGAGTGACGGCGAGGAGACAGCTGACGCAGCCTTTACACTGACTGCTGGTTGTGATTCTCCACACTACGTGAGCACAATAATACTTTCTGAACTCTGTGGGTTTGCTCTTCTCTCTAGTTCAAAAACTTAATTCATGTCTTCCGTCCACATTTATCCGACAGAAAGTTTCTTAAACAGTCCTTGAATCTGGAGACAAAATAATAATTAACATGGAGACTTGTCGGTTCACTGCTGTTCAACATATGATGTCACTGAATAAACCACGAGGTCAGGAGATGTAAATCATGTATAAGTATGATAAGTGAATAAGCTGCCTCCTCTGCACTTCCTCCTCAGGTGTTCCTCACCTTGTGTGTGGGAGCTTTGGGACTGATGGGACTGAACATCTCGTCTCCATCCACGCTGGACGTGCTCAGGCTCTTCATCCTCTCTGCTGCCTCCATCCTCCTCCTCTCGATGTCTTCCTTCATCCGTCTCCTCTCCTCCTGGAGTCGGGGGCACAAAACACATTTTCTACATGAGACTGTGTGGCTCTAATTAAGGAAACCAACTCCTGGGAGAAATATCCGTCTCTTCAGCTGCTACGTGTTCCACTTTCTTCCCCAGCTCGTCTCTATCTTTGTCTCATCCGTCTTTAAAAAGGCCAGAACACATAAAAGATCCATTGTTTGATAAAAGTATGGACTGGCTGCTCTTTATATGTAAACTGTCCTGGAAAGTTTTCAGATTTTTAACAGGCCACTTTCAGTAAGAAATCTGTGATACTTCAGTTAAAATAGACCCGTCTGATTGGTCGAGTAGATATCTGAGCGATACCTCCTACAGTCGTTCACACATTAATCTTTCAATGAGTCGTGGTCACCTCCTCTCTGGCCAGCCGCTGCTGCTCCTCCTCCTCCCTCCGGCGCTCCTCTTCCCCCCGGACCCGGCGTCTCTCCTCCCTCCTCCTCTTCAGCTCCTCCAGCTCCTGCTCGGCCTCGGCCTGTCGGTGCCTCAGCTGCTCCAGCTCCTGGCTCTCCTTCACCTGGAGGCCCCGTCGGATCTTCTCCAGACGCTGCTCCGTCTCCAGGATGGCCTCCGCCTCCTCCGGCTCCGTGGCTCTGCTACGTACACACCAGGGGAATTATTAAACGTAAAATAAAAGTTTCATTTATGACCAGACTCTGGACTGTACAGTGTCCAAGGTCTGTGTTCAAGGTCTTTCTGAAAGCTGAGACCGGATACTCTGACTTCCTGCCCATAAATAAATAGTTATCTGCTCCTGTACTGGCTGATGAGAGTCAAACATTCGCCTTTTTAACAAACAGTATTCATCAGAGAATAAATAGGACGGTCTACACACCTGGTGGATCTCTTTGTCTTGTTGATGTATGACGTCGCTTCCTCACTGGTTGCGTCTCCGTTGGCGTTGCTGTGTTTCGGCTCCTGGTGAAGGAAAACCTTCGACGTGTAGGAGACTTTGACTTTCTCCACCTGCACACGAAAGGTTAGAGACACAGGATCACCACCCGAACTCTTCTTATATACGACAATCTGAGCGACCGGAAACTCAACACAAACACTGAACCTCAGAGTGTTTGAAGGACGACGTCACATTTAGCTACTGGCCTCACGTTCGACCTGACGGCAGTAAAGGCTTGAGAGTTGACTTGGATTTCACCTCCTTGAAACCTGATTGTAAAAATTGACTCAATAATTGAGACTCAATAAACTCAACCTTGACTTTGACTCATTTTAAATGCTGTTAAGACTCGATTTGAACCGGTCTTGGATCATGTAAGACTTAACTCTTAATTGAGAATGACTTGATACTTGACTCAAACAACAACTCAAGACTAAACTTGGTCTCGTCTTTAATAATTTGCGACTTGACCCCAACTTGTCTCAGTTGACTCGAGACTCTCTGTCTTGTCATATTACCTAACCCTTGACTTGTCGTCTTCTTCGTCCTCGTCCATGGGACTGGACTCAGAAAACTTTAAACCTGACTCAGATTTGTCTTGAACATTTTAAGACTTTACTCTGACTTGTGTCAAATGCCTCGATTTGGACTGGTCTTGACTCAAACGTGTCTCGAACGACTCAAGACTTCACTCTGGAAACTAAACTTTGTTGTGTCTCTAATAACTTGAGGCTTGACCCGGTCTGGCCTCGAATGACTAAAGACTGTCATATTACCTAACCCTCGACTCTGACGCCCCTGAAATGACTTGGGACTTTAGATCTGACTCAGATTTGTCTTGAACATTTAAAGGTTTGATCTCGTCTCAAATGACTTGAGGAACAGACTTCTCTCTAGTTACTCTTACACTTGACTTAGAGCTGTCTGAAATGACTGAGACATGGTTTGGATTCGTCTCAAATGATGCTGAACTTGTCTCCAGTAACTCAGGACACAAGTCTGACGTTTCTTGAATTATTAAAATCTTAAACGGCTCAGTTGTTTGGTGAGGAAGCCTTACCTCTGTTTTTGGCCTTTGAATCTCCCCCCTCCTCTTGGTCATCACCTCCTCCCTCTTCCTCTTCTCCTCTTCCTCCCTCTTCGCCCTCTCGGCTCGAACCGTCTCCTCCTCACGTTCCCTCTTTCTGTCCACCTCCATCCTGGCCCTGTCCGTCCCCTGCCGCTCCTGTCTCACGAGTCGGCTGGAGGACGTGACGGAGGCCTGGACGGTCTTGGCGGGCGCAGCTTTGTTTATCGTGTCCTCCTCTTCGTCCTCGTCCTCCTCGCCGCCCTGGCTGAGCTCCTGCAGGCGCTGCTGCCTCCGTCTCTCTCTGCGCTGAGTCCAGTCGCTGAAGCCTTCGTCCTCCTCCAGAGACGGAGAGCCGCTCGGCTTCAGGTCGCTGTCGTACCTGAGGAGGAAGAGCGAGACGGGACAGGGCGGTCAGGGCGGCTTACTGACAAAGTTTGACTGATGTGAGACAGCGGCAGGTGTCACAGGTTTCATGTAACAACTACAGGTGATCTGACAGGAGGTCTGATCTTCACTGTAGGAGCGTATTTCAGCTTCTGTCCTTCAAAAGGCATTAGATTTTTGTAACAAGGCCTCGAGTCAGAAACAGAGGCTTAGACTGGCTGCAGGGGAGGGGGGGGGGGGTCAGTCCAGGACGGACAAACAACAGTGAACAAAGTCCGTGAACATAACCTGGAATCACGGCCAAGAATTACAGAATAAAAATGTCCATTATCGATCTTTAGGTCGGTGCGTCCACACTGTGGCATATTCAGCTTGTGTGATCACAGAGTCATTAGCAGCAGAGCGCAGCAGACAGATGAATGAATGAGCAGCGTCTGGTTCAGCTGAAATAACAACCCCGTGAAAACAGGAAATGGAGACTGGCCAGAAACACATGCAGCAATGTGTCTGGGACTCTTCTACATGTTTGGTTTGCAGAGTTTATTTAAAACATGGGCGTCAGGTTGGTGTAATATCTGCAGTTTTGTTTTGTATAATGTCAGATACAAGATTACAGGGTGTCGGCTGAGATGACTCCTCCAGTCCTCGGACACCATAAGAGTAATAATAATTTGTATTATTAAGAAGATATGAATGTTTTCCATTGAAATGACGACCTACCTAGTGACCTATCGCAGTTTTGCGAGACCTAAAACTGAGACTCGGCCTGGACCTGAATCTTTACCACCCAACCCTGTTGAACCTGACCTGCATCACTGGTCCTGCCAAATATGAGACCTGACACCAACCGGAGAGTCAGCGTGATATTTGTGCTTTATTTCCAACAGGACGTTTGGTTTAAATGACAGACTGTTAGAAACCAGTGTCGGAGAAGCAAATCTGTTTTATGATGTGACACCACTATGGTGAAAGTTCGGTTAGATTCAGGTACAAATGGTTGGTGTTGGGAAAAGATCATGAATTAGGTCAAAGTTACTTCTCGGGGTTAAGGTTACGGAACAATCAAAAAGAAACCAACGTTGACTGTTGGTTGGAAACGAATGATGGTCTCCTGAGTCACGGTCTGATGTTTTGTTTTGTTGACCCGTCCATCCATCCAGATCCTGGATGTAGAGACTGTACATTAATGCCCCCCATTTCCTCCATCGCTCCCAATGGACCAGAGTTGTAATTGCTACCGCTGCTCGAGGGCTTCGTAAACACGTGGAAGCTTTGGGCATTTCCTGAAACGTCTCCTTATTCCATCCATTAGTTCACCACACTAATGCATCACTGCTGAGGTGGAAAAGTTGATGTTTCAATAAAAACTAAACACAATGGAAAGAGACTAAGAGAAGAACCGATAAGTCGCATCAATGACGATGAAACATCAGATCTGTGGAGCGAAGAGAAAACCGTAAACTTGTTTTCCACATGGTTTTCCATCGTTTGAGCTCAGACTTAACGACCTCATCTTGCTGCGTCTTCCTCTTCTGCAGTGGTTTAATGGCCCAAAATGTGTAATAGTAGCGGGTTAAAAATTTGCTGTACATATAGAAATTTCTTCATGAATTACATTAGAAAACCAAACCTGAACTGGACCGGAACCCAAAGCTTCACCACGATAAAAATGACCCGACATTGACCCTCAAAAATCTGATACTTTACCGGGTCGGGTTCAGGCCGGTTCATTTCCAGTGTGACACATCAGGAGTTAAATGTGAAGCTCCAGTGGGTCATTGTTGACGCTGCTTCCATCACCAAACAGCCACACAGCTGCTGGGTAGGAAATCTCTGCAGCACGCGCAGTCATCTACTTCACTGCAGTTAAATCTTTCAAACTTCCAACCGATTGTTGATTAATTAAACTTCTCATTAGACAGCTTTCCAGTCATTAGCACAGTGTCTCCCTCTGTTCCCCCCCTGCTGATTTTAAGTAATCAAAGTGTGTTTTGTGTTTCCAGGAGCTGGCAGAAAGGAATTCACTCAGCATTCCCCACATGATTAAAATGCCCAGCCGCTCCGCCCGGCGCAGGCCCCGCTGCATGATGGGAGTCTCTGCCTGATCTCTCGGCAGCTAATCAGCCTTAACGAGCGGTTCTGTTTCGTCAAATCAACTTTTTCAAAACCAAACCATTATGAGCTTCAGTTTCATACCAGCAGTTACTATATAACTAGTGTATAAACATATATTATAGATTATTTTAAGACGATATTTTAACTTGATACAAACTTTCATGTTTCATTTCGCTTCACTTAAAAACACAAACTGTGATTTTTACATTTCTGTTTTGTAGCTTTGAGCAGAGCCAGGCATTTTCTAATCTTTATGCTAAGCTAAGATAACCATGTTGTGACTCCATCTCCCCAGCTGGCACTGGACATCACTGTCCCATCGGACAGACGTCAAAGTTTGGTTGGAAATGAAAATCAAGTTGACGTTAAAACACATCCCTTCGGCTGCATTTGAAAACACACAGTGATGCGACTAGGCTCCATCCATCGGATCCTAACGAATGAAAGCAAACAACACGGACAGAGAGCGCGAGGATTACACTTTTAAATGGAAGTACTGGGTTTACCAGCTAACGGTACATCTGGTAAAAACCAAGGGCCTTAAAAACCTTGTTTTTGTGTTTGTGTTTTTGTGAAAAAAAGTTACGCGTAGTCAAGGTTGCTAGGCAACAGGAGCCACGCTTTACAACAGTAACGGAGAAGGCCGTCTCATTTCGGTTTAGCCTAGCTAAAAAAAAAAAAAGACCAAAAACTGAATGTCTCCTAAAAACCCTGGTGTGTTTTGTTCTTTGCTGCCACTCAAATACTAATTGTATTTTTGTTTTTAAAGATTCAAATCTTCTGCAGGAACCAACAGGCTTGGAGGTGAGAGTGGACAGAAAGAATTACAGTCTTACGATGATGAGATGTAGAAACCAAAACCTTTAAAAAAACCTCTAGGATTGACCAACATCTGTACACTCAAACTTGACCTCCGACCTTCCCTGAGGCAGGAAATCATGTCACAAGTTTACCACGAAGGGATTTCAAAACAGCATTACATCACCAACAGAAAAGCCTTTCAATTACAAAGCCCAGCGGCGGAGCTGCCTCACGCCTGAGACCAGCTGAGCCTGTGATGTGACGGAGGCGAAGGTGTTGGAGGTGCAAGCTGTAATTATGTTTCTGAGATTATAAGTCGACGGAGACGCCGCAGGCTTTGACGCGGCGGTGGTTTTCCCTCGAGACGCTCTGCAGTAAACATTCTTTGGAGGTCGTGTAATGAGAAGGCAGCTGTGTGTTCGTCTTCACATCAACACAACGGGGGAGGAAAGAGCTTGTTTGCAGCTTTTCCCAATGGAAACATTTGTTTTACGTAACCAGACATCCGTGAGGACCCGTAAACCAGCGAGGAGGGAAAGCGACGCTGCAGCACGTCGAGCTTCGAGTTTCACAGCTGGGAAACTTGATGACAAACTTTTAAACTCGCAGTTATCACCAGAAAAAAAAAATAAAATCCAGTCACACAGTTAGCAGCTCGTACAGGAAGTGGCTGGACACGAGGTGAGTGAGTGAATAATGTTCTGCACTTAATAACTTCCTCCGTTCCCATGATTGCATGGACGAGGAATCCAGACACGCTTTGTTGTTGTATTTGCATCTTTTAGCATGAGACCAGGACCAGGGCCAGGGCCAGAACCAGAACTAGGACCAGGACCAGAACCAGGACCAGAACCAGGACCAGAACCAGGACCAGAACCAGGACTGTTCAGGCCGCAAAGACTCATTCAATAATGTCCAGTGAAATCATGTCACATCTCCAAGATTGGAGTTTCACTTTTTACCCTGAAGAGTTTAGAGATCCAAAAAGCAGCTAGATCAGTGGTTCTCAAAGTGGGGTTCGGGGACCTCCAGGGATCCTTGAGAGGGTTCCTGGGGGTCCTCAGCAAAAAAGGGAGTAATTTATTTTCACTATAATTCATCAATAAAATACAGAATGAATATTTTGTTCATGGGCTTCAAACATTTTCTGTAATAAAACATCTAAAAGCATAAGTCTTCACCTTTTCATGTGGTCTGGTTGCAGAACTAAAAGGTGGAACCACACCGAATAGGTCGGGTGTGAAAACCCTTTCTCTGAACTTACATGTTCTCCTCTGTTGGCGTCCCGTTCTCCGGCGACGACTCTCCGGGTGTCGAGCCGCTGTTCCTCCGGCATGAAGCCTCTCGGGCTCTTCGGCGACGCTCCCTCTCCGCCTCCTCGGCGTCCTCGATGCTCCTCTGAGCCGTCAGCCTGGAGGGGAGGGGGGACACGGCGTGGTTAACGAAGGGGTGAAGCAACAAAAAAGACTTTGTTTATTCCAAGTCTGTACTGAAGTAAAATTCAACTGTTTTATTGGATTACTGTCATTTGCCTTCATTTCCATAAATACTGTTTATACCCAAGACTTCCATCCATTTTCCATTCTTCCAGTTCTCCCCTACTTCCATACTGACAAACAACCTACTACTGATCAGAATGATTATTCTCTGTTTGATATAACTGGGCCTTCAGTTAATAATCTTCATTATCGATGAACCTGGCAATCTTCTCAATCAATCATCTTCAAATATCTTGTTTTGTGAACAGTCCAGAACCACAAAATATCTAATTTACATCGATATAAAACAGAGAAAATCTGACGGTAAAAATGGATCGGATACCAAGCGCCAACCTACGGGCTGAGAAATGAAGTGCAGTTCCTCTAATGGCCACTAGAGTCTGGCTCCAACAGTGAGTCAGTCCCCATAGACTCCCATGTTAAAATGTCCAACTTTACAGCAGAAATAAACATGTTTACAGCCTGGTACAAAAACTGTTTTGGTCTCTAGAGCTAATTTCCTCCTTCATGACACCTGTTTATATAACTCACCTGTTTATATAACTCACTTTACATTTCATTAAGGACTAAAGTTTTGGAGAATTGAGGGCGTGGCCTCTTTGAGTGACAGGTAGGTGAGCAACAAACAGACATGAATCCACATCTCAGCTCCACACACACCCCCTCCTCTTTGACCATTTTTGGATTAGCTGGGAGTTATGGGCGGAGTCAGACACTGCCAAGATGGCGACGGTGGAGCAGCTCACTCTGAGCTTCAAAACCACTCTTTAGGTGCCACCATGGAGGCTAGAACCATCTTTATTTAAAGTCTATGGTGGATTGACCTTTTCTTGTTTCAGCGCTATAATAATGAGAGGAAAACCATCATATCTGTAATTCTGTGAATGAAATCAGTGACAATCCTCAAACAGAAAATCCCCCACGTTGCTGAAAACTTACAGAACTAATCACTTAAACACTGGACTTTTCCATGTGAAACTGCTCCACACAGATGACTTCCCTCGTCACTGGTGGTTAGGAAACAATAAAAGCCTTAAATGAGAAACATTTGTCCTGTAACCGACGACACAGATCCCTGACTCATCGTCGTCTCTCAGGCCTCCTGAACAAAAGAGTGTGTGAAGCCGTTGAAGAGGCTGAGCTCCGGCCAGACCGACATCTGCCGAGCCTCGGAAGAGAAGTGACACTGGGCTGTTTATGTGCAGGATAAACACATGTGCTCCTCACCTCGTGTCGCCATTACGTCACTGTATTTATTACAAACACCGTTAATCTTTATTTATCCACAGACGACGAGCCAAACGCGAACGCGCCCTGATTTACACCGACACTGGAAGCTTTGGTCCTCAGTTGTAAGTGGAGATGTGACTCTTGTTGCACGTTTTCATTGTTTGTTTTATTCTGGACAGATAAGACTCTTAATTAAGTGATATAAAAAAATGAAAAAACAACTTTTAGATCTATAATAATTTTGGTTTGGTTTAAACATCCCTGATTGGACAGTTTTCCACCGGTGGGTAGGATTTGTTTTGGTGGGTTGTGATAATTTGTGGGATTTTTTTCCCCCACATGTAAATGTAATATATATATATATATATTGAATTTCCATATATGATATAAATGTACATATAAAATAAAAACACTTATGTAAAAGTTATAAATGAAACCTATTAGAATTGGAACAATTTCATATACTGACATTTATGTCTAGCCCATACAAATCTGTATGTTTATGTAGATTAAATTATTCAAATTTCTAGAAGGTTTCATATAGAACTTTTACACATTTTAATTTATATGTACATATATATCTTTTGTGTATGGGAAAATACATCAACTTTTTTTTCCTTTTGCAGTTATTATTCTGTCACAGTTCTTTGATCAAAGACTTCAGTTTTTAAAGTTTAGTTTAGTTAAAGTTTAATGTTTATTGAAACATTATCTAAAAGACTTTTATTTATTTATGCTTTGTAACTGTGGTTTGGAGTTCACCTAATTCCATAAAACTCATCTCATCTGGAAAAACTCCGTCCGGATTATAGATCATCACTGAGACCTTTGTTTAAACTTGTTGGATGTAGAAATGTTTCTTCTGTTTCGTTTGCATGAGGACAAACATGAACACGAGAGAAGAAGTCTGCCAGCGTGAAAACCTACGTAGATTTTTGATCACCATGGTAACCAGAGCCGATGCAGGGCAGGTTAAAATCCTGTCAACAGCCCGACCACCGACCAATCAGATTGCTTTGTTTACAATTAACAATAAAGAACGACAGATATTTTTATAAATCAGTGGAATCTTTTTTGCTGTGTCAGACTTTCCACTCAGTTCACCACAGTAAATAAAGACGTGATTATAGCTGCACTAAACCCTCTGTTGTCTTTTATTAGAAACATCATCCACACACTGTTAAATATTCCCCATGATTATAAATAAACATTTCAGTCAGATATGAACTAATTTTCCTCTTCATCTCTGCTCTGGCAGCACAAACAGTCATTTATTTAACTTTTTATGTGCATCACATGTTCATAATTACCACCAATTCACTAATTACCGGACTCATTTATGTCCTTAGCCTCACTTTAATATTTGGAAATGATTTCTAGTGTTTCTGCAGCTTCTTATTCTGGTCATGTGATCTTATTGTTTCCATAGGAACAGTTAATAACCAGCTTTGTGATACTCGGCCGATGTGAGGCTCAGTGACGATCCAGAAGTTAAACCTGGTCCTGGTCTGTGTTGATGTGGGTCCTGTTCCAGCCTCAGGAGGACTCAGGAGGACTAACGGGTCAATAAGCTCCATGTGGTCGCTCAGGTATCGAGTTACTAAACTCACAATTTGGCTTCTGGGTTACTAATAGACCCCTAATGGCTCCCAGCATGCATCTGTTCCTCCTCCCTCCGCGCTCTCTAACAGACGGGACTCACTGTGACCTCTGACCCCTCAGCATCATCACAGATTTTCACAGCTTTTATGCAGTTACGAGCTGCAGCGTCACCTCCTCCCGGACTCCCCCGTCCTTCCTTCGGCAGATACAAGAACAAACTCCAGCTCCTCTTTGTTCTCAGCGCTGGTTTGGTTTTACTCTCCGGAACAAAAGTTCTGTTCAGCGATGATGAAATTCGTCCTCAGGAGTGTTTTGGTTTCAGCGTCAACATGTTTTCTGTTCATCTCCTGCAGCTTTTCACCTCCCTCCATTACTCTAGCTAGTTCTTCAGCTTCAGCCTTTTCCTATCGTTTCTTCTTCTTGGTTGTTTTTCTAAATAAATGCAAAAATAATCAGTCTAAATATTAACTGGACTTATACAGAACTTGTCTGGTCTTCTTGATCACTCAAAGAGCTTTACACTACATGCCACATTCACCCATTCACACACACACAGCTCAGTATCTGGAAGGAAACCAGGGATCGAACCATCGACCTTCTGATTAGCGGACGAGCCGCTCTACTTCCTGAGCCACAGCCGCCTCACAAACTAGTTGATGTCAGTGTGGAAACAAGCAACAATTCAAAAGGTGCAACTGTTTGAAATGCAGGTTTAATTTCTGCAGCTGGAGGTGACTGAGTTAAAGGTTAAAGGTCAAAGGCGTGATCCATCCACACAGCGCTGGATCGAGGTTGCGTCACGTTTTCCACCTATGCAGTCTTTGAAAAAACGACTCTACGGCGAGTAAACAGAAGACTTAACGAGGCTACCACCAATGTTGCTAAAAAGCCAGATGTTTCCGCCTCACATGGCGCCTGCACGCCATTTAAACGTGATTCCTGGCCTTTGCTACAACATAACAAACAGGCCGACGGGGCGCAGCCATTTTCCACACTTACAGGAATCAGTGAAAATATCTGCAACTACATTAGCCCTACAGGCGTCAGCATCAGATTCACTTCCTCCTCTCCGTACTTCCTGTGGGCAGGCGAGGACGAGCGGACAGGAAGTGAGTGAGGGGGCAGAGGTGGAGAGGCCGGTGCACATCTGGATGTGTGTCAGCTGGGTGTTTCTCTGATGTGACCCAGAAAAACTCTGATAGATAGAGGCCAGGTGGAATCAAGTGTTTGTGTTGGACATGTGTGGAGCAGCAGTCACTGTGTCAGTTGACTTTCAGAATAAAAGCCTTTCCTCTGGTATTTAAGTAACTACACTTAGACCTACAAATTCAATGCTTATGCCACTCCCCACACATCCAGTGAGAATCTGAGCTCACAATGTGAAGTGAAAATGAAGTGAAAATTTACGAATAAAACATTATCCATTTATAGTTATTAGCCAGTTTCATTGATTGTGTTTATGTTTTTGCAGACTACAGAGTTATTTGTAATATATTTATGCATCAGGCCTCAGATTCTTCCAGATTTGCTGTTTATTTTTAGTTAAGTATTTTGAATTTTTACATGAGCAGTAATGTAGGCTAACCCTCAAAAAGTTGCTTAACACTTGGATTAGATGTGGAAATGTTTCCGTATTGACGAGGAGAAGGTGTGACGATGGATTCATGTTTTGAAATGAAATGAGAAATGAATAAAGCACCATGAGTATCTGCTGTTATTTGCAGCTTCAAAACCAATATTTACTTGTGACCTTAAACCAGCCGTGGCCATGTGGAGGACGGTGTGAGGCCCGACAGTGGAGCGGAGGTGGTGTATGAGAACTGGCTCTGGTTCCTGGTCTCTCAGTTTATTCTGAGTCGTCATTGAGAGCAGGGGTGTTGAAATCTGTTTGAGTTAAACTCTGCCTCCTCTGCCCTCTCATTACGTCTCCTTTCTGTAATCAGCGCTGTGGGATTCAGTCATACCTGGCACCGGCTCAAACATCTGATTCGGACCAAATGATTAATCCCCTCTCTGAGTGATTTTAAAGTGCTGGGATTACCGGCAGCTTTACTTCCTCCTTCTCATCCTGTGTTTTATC